AAACATTCTGCCATCTTCCCTGGGCAATCTGTGCCAGGGCCTTACCCCCCTCACAGCCAAGAATTCCTTCCCAATATCCCATCTAACCCTGCCCTGTTGCAGTGGGAAGCCATTCCCCTGTGTCCTGTCCCTCCATCCCTTGTCCCCAGTCCCTCTCCAGCTCTCCTGGAGCCCCTTTAGGCCCTGGCAGGGGCTCTCAGGTCTCCCTGGCACCTTCCCTTCTCCAGGTGAACCCCCCCAGCTCTCCCAGCCTGGCTCCAGAGCAGAGGGGCTCCAGCCCTGGAGCATCTCCGTGGCCTCCTCTGGGCTCTCTCCAGCAGCTCCACGTCCTTGGGCTGCTGTTCCCAGGGCTGGAGGCAGCTCTGCAGGGGGGTCTCGCCTGAGACAGGGGCAGAGGGACAGAATCCCCCCTGCCCTGCTGCCCACACTGAGGGGGTGCAGCTCCCCAGTTATTCACCCCTCAACCCAAATCCCCCCTCCTGCACCTCCCACTCCGCTGGTTTTCCAGCACAGCCGGTGCCTCCCCCCCCAGTTTGCCTCCTGCACCAATCTGCTTTTTAAAATGTTATTTCTATTCCCATCCAATTTCATCCCCTTTTCCTCGTGTTCTTTCCAAACAGGATTTCCAGGTCGGGGCAGGACCAACCCAAGTGTAACTGCAGAGCTGTGTCCCGTGGCCTTTGCAGCCTGGCAGCAGCGCTCAATTTGGAGCGCAGTATCCTCGCTCTGTTCCACGCCGAGATCTGTTGTCCAGATGAATTAATTCCAGATTATATGTGGGTGTGGACTTCAGCTGGGCAAAATTTGGATACCCTGGTTGAGTCATTATTCTCTGATGAATCTCTTGGTGACAGCCTTCGCCCCTATTGTTCTGAGGTGAGCCCCGTGGCAAGAAATGTGAAGGCAAGAAACAAAAGAATATAAAGAAAGGTTACGAAATCAAATTCAGTTAAGGCAGGGTTATTGTCCCTCCATCCCGCCTCTGCCGTCCTCCAGTTGGGATTGGATTTGGCAGGAAAACAACACCCGTAGGACAGCGGATGAGGTTCAGGGCAGGTTCTGGGGGAGCCCATCCCAGTGGGACCCTCGTGGCCCAAACAACACCAGAGACAGGGAGGAGGAAGTTTATCATCAATTCTTAACATTTTATTTCTTTACTGGGTTAAACAAGGAGCAGAGAAAACCTCGGCCCCAAAATACAACAGAACTGAAAGCATTACAGGTACAGAGACTATTGAACACAGAGAGTAGTAGGATAATATTTTAATACAACTGAATTATAGCATGGGATTGTGTTTTTGTTGGGTTTTTTTTGTTTGTTTTTTGTCAAACCAGTTTGGAAAATAAATGTAATAGGAACTAGTGCAAAAAAGTTCTAAACATGAAGCACAGTGTATAAAATGGCATAAGAAAACTGTCCCCTCGAGGACACAGTCACTTTCTTATGACAGAGGGGAGAAAGAGAAACAGAAGGGGGGTGGGAACAGAGAGGGAGGGTCGGGAGGCGGAGGAGGAAAGCTGGAAAGAAAGAGAAACCGGGCAGGGGGATTAGAAAGAATATTTTGACTTCAGCAGTATGTTGGTTTGAGTTTCACCACCACGCACTGGAAAAGGACCTCGTGGTCGGTCTGAGCTCTGTCACCACCGACATGGCACAAGCACTTGAGAAGGGTTCGGTCACGAGCAGCCTGGGCACACGCGGGCACAGCCGGGGTCGGGTCCCCACAGGATCCCCACGAGATGCCCCCGAGGTGCCCTTGTGCCCCCCAGCACCCCCAGCCCGGGCAGGGAGCCCCAGCCCGGCTGCCGGACCCGCATTCCGGAGGGAGAAGGGCACATGGGCAGGGATTTGGGGGCTTGTCATGCTCTCCCTTAACACATCCCTCCTTGAACCATGGAGTCTGCTTCCTCAAGGACCCACACGTGGAATTTCTTCCCAGTTCACACTCCCAGGCACAGATGGGAGCGTCTCCCTTTTGAAGGCATCTCGTAGCGATGTCCGAGCACCAGAGGCTCGGAGAAGCTGGATTCAGTTTGGTTTGGAACAGAAAACCAAACTAAACATCCATCAGAGGGATGGCTGGGGATTCCCAGGAATTCCTCCCAAGCAGAAGCACCTCTGATTCCCATAGGGGAGGTGTCCCTGCATTCCCAAGGTGTTATCCCAGCCTGGAGCTGCCCTGGTCAGCCAGGCCTTGCTCCAGCCTGTTCCCACCATGGAGCCACTGAGCCTCCTGCCCTGGAGAAACTGGCTGGATGCTATTTTAGGGAGAGCTGGTTGGAATTCCTTACAAATTGCTATTCTCTCCCAATCCGCTGCCGCCTGTTCCAACTGTGTGAGCAGAAAAAGTGTGATTGATTTTTTTTCTTCGTTTTCTTTTTGGAAAATGAAAGGTTTTGTGGGAAAGGCCTGTTCTGGATGCATTTCTCAATTTGCAAAAAAAGAAAAAAAAAATCGGTCATAATGATCAATCTGGCTTGTTTTGACAAGTTTCAAAATAAAAAAATCACTGTCTGGCTCAAAATGTCTTTTTGTTTTGCAACTCGGGCACGTCCAGTTCCCAAATACATTTAAAAATGGCAAAACCAAACCCAAATTTCATAAGCCAAACTTAATTCTTGGGTCTTTTTGTTGAGTTTCAGTTTATAACAAGCAAAGCTGTTGACTTTCTGGGCTGAAAAAGGATCATCCTAAAATGCTAACGAGGCTGGAAACTGCTCCTAGCCTTGTCTGGAACACAAGTCCTGGAGATGCAGTGCAAGGAAAGATGGAGGGACGGGGCTCAAGAACTCATCCATCTCCTGCCCAGGCCTGTGAGAGGGGCTGAGAGCTTTGATAAAACCCCAACAACTATTACAAGTTAATTTTTTTTAATGATCCTTAATTAAAGATGGTTTATCCTCCACCACAGCATTCCCTCTGCTCCCTTCCTCCTTCCCAGTGCAGGCTGGAAGATCACCTAAAGAGCCACCTGGACCAAGACTACCCAAAAATTGCTGCCAAAACCCCTCAGTTCCTTGGAATGGACTTGTGGTTGGAGCTGTGCAACCCCTGACCTGCTCTGATCTGGGAGCTCTAAGTAGGCTCCTTTTGGGGGGAAAAGGGGTGAGTTTGGGGTTGTGTGATGTTGGTACTTCCAGCTGGGATGCCCATGAGCTTTGATGGCCTGAAGTAGACCATTAACATCCAACCTGAACACTGGACATGGCCCTTCCCAACTTTTCCAGAATAATTTAAGAGAGATTTAACCCCCAGGGATGGGAAGCCCCAGGGCAGCACACAAAGCTGTGTGCTGCACAAATTCAAAGCACACAAAATTCCCTGTCTCATCACATTCTGGCAGAATCCAAGAATGTTTCTGTCCCGACTTTGTCTCTCCCAATCCCTACAGACATTCCGTTCCAGGGTATGGGATCAGGATGAATCAGAAGCTGAAGGTAACTTGGGCTATTGAACCTCACCGCGTGGCTCTGTGGAAATCATGCAATCACAGAAAGGTTTGGGTTGGAAGGGCCCTTCAAGACCATCTAGTTCCAACCCCTGCCATGGGCAGGGGAAGCTTCCACTACCCCAGGCTGCTCCAAGCCCTGTCCAACCTGGCCTTGAGCACTTCCAAGGATGGGGCAGGCACAGCTTGTCTGGGAAACCCAAATATCCATCACCAAACCTCCACGCTTGGTGCCACCAGAAGAACAGGAGGGACCTGCAGAGCTCAGCAAGGGAAGCTCCATGGCATCGCTCCAGCAGATCCTGCCCCAGGAGCAGCAGATATCAGGGATTTTCCCTTCCCAAAGGCAGGAGTGTCTCCCGGCATCGCCTGCAGTCCTGAGTGGCAGTGAGTGAACTGCCCTGACATCTCCTATTGAAGCAAAGCAAAATGTGTTGAACAAAAACCATTTCAAGATGTTTTCTGAGTGTTGCCAAGTTACTCAACATGTTCTGCTTTAGTTGTCAGATGCTTTCAAAGCGATTTCCCTCACTCGGAGCACGAATGGTGAGGGCTCTCCCTGGGAATCTTTTGCCTGGGGCTACCATGGATCTGTATTTTCATAAGAAAAAGGCTCAACTAATGATTAATCTTTCCCAGAGGAATCGGGGCCTTTCTTTGGGATTTTTCTTCAGTTATTTTTAATTAATTTGTACAACTGGCAGCGACATGAAAGTGCAAAACCCGGGAATAACGATGTGGCCGGGCAGGACCCGGCTCCTTTTGCTCCTGCAGCCCTGCCCTCACCTGGATCCTGCAGGGACATCATCATCCCTCAGCTCCCCAGGGATGAGAAACCCCTTCACCAGGGAGGAATCACTGCTTCCCCCTGGGAGTTTTCTCCCAGCAGGAGAAGTTTATCCACTGAAAGAAAGGTTGAGTGTTACATCTTAATCCCAATGTGGGGCACCTTCTTAAGGGAGAAGACATAGGATCATTGGATGAAAAGAAGAAAGCCCCTTGGTGTAAAATTCCTGGTGGGATAAATGCATTCAGACCTGGGGCTTTCCAAGGTGGCTGTGGGAATGTGGCTCTGCAATGGCTCCTGGTCTGGTAGACATCAGGCTTGGGGTGAAGTGTACCTGCATGCACAGGGCAAAGAACCCCATTCCCTGCTTATCCAGGCACATTCCCTTTTTATCCTCTCCTATTGTAATAAACGTAATGCCGGTGGGATGAAGTGAGACAAAGTCACCGTCTGCTCTCTGGGCCGTTCTCTTGTGGAGCAAAGACAGAGCGATCAGAGATGGAGGATTAGGAAGGTTGTAATGTCAGAGCAAAGGGAGGATTTTTATCCGATGGGCTCCATACACAGCTTCCAGCTGCTCCGGCCTGCTCCAGGAACAGCCTCGTCTGGATCTGTTTAAGGAGATTGGCAAAGTGTTGAATACAGCATATGGTGCCCTAAAACCACAGAACTTATTGACAGCAGCCCAGACTCACTAAATAAAAGATCTCCTTCCAAAGCCTCACTCTGTGAAGACTCAGCACTTTCCTCCCAGTCGCACAAGGTAAAGCTCCAGCCCGGGCTCTGCATCCCGTGCGCTCCCGCTGCCCACCCACGGTACCTCATCCCTGTGGGAACACCTCCTGGGAGCCACTGCCTGGAAAATATGTTGGTCTCCTACATATTTTTCTCCTACTCTGCCCTGCAGAGTCCCTCGCCTGGCGGATGGGGTGAACATCCCCCCAGTAACCACCACAAGCACCCCAGTGCAGAACTGGCTCCGCTCTCCGACGCATTGGGATGCAGCGCGTGCTCCTGGCCTCCCAAGGTGAAGCCTTCAGCTCACATTAGGGAAGGGAAAGACATTTCTCACAGCTCCCAGGTTATCCCAGCAAAACCCTGCCAGCCCCCCTGATGATAACTTGGGATATTGGACCTCACTCCTGCAGCCCTGTGGAAATCATGGAATCATAGAATGGTTTGGTTGGAAGGGACCTTAAAGCTCATCTTGTTCCACTCCCCGCCATAGGCAGGGACACCTTCCACTATCTCAGGTTGCTGCAACCTGAACACTTCCAGGGATGGGGCAGCCAAAGCTTCTCTGGGAAACCCAAATCCCCATCACCAAACCTCAGTGCCCCTAGAAGTCCCCAAGCCCAGCCGGACACTCCATCGCCAGCAGGGCACAGGGGAGAAGGGGCAGGGAGAAGGACACACATCCCTCGGGACAGTCCCTGGGCCGGATCTGGGATCTGGACGTGGTGCAGGGACCGAGCCGGGGCCACCCCGTGCTCCCGGCGCTGCTCAGTGTCCCAGCACACAGTGAGCAGGGCCAGTGACTCAGGGCCACTCTGACACACCACACGGGGCTGTTCTCTCTCCACACGAGTCGCTCCGAGATTGGACGGAGCCTATCTCCGAGAGAGGCGCCTGGAATCAGCTTAACTCTTGGCAGGACATGAGAAATCTAATTTCCTCCAGGATGCGGCTGTCTGGAGGCAGGGATGGGGCTGTGCTCCCTCCCCTGGCCTGCCTGGGAGCTTTTGCTCCTCGACAGAGCAGCTCCACAGGACACTGCTCACGGCAATCCAAGGGCTCGGATCCCTCTTCGTGGAACTGCTCCATGTCCAAGTTCTCAGATCGGTGTAAACTAGCCTGAAAATATAAGGATGCCATGAGGAGCAGTAAAGTGAGAATCATCCTACCTTTTCTGGATAGCAACAGCAAAGGAATCTGTTCAGGAAACACTCTACATTTTCCATAAGCATCACCTCTCCCACACCCAGAACCACGGGATAGCGGGATCACAGGCCTCGTCTCTGCAGGACTTTGGTTAACAGGCAACTGGTAGCGTGTAAACATCACCCCAAAGCTCTGAGATTCAAGTCAAAGCAGGAATCAAACATTCAGCTGCTTCTCAGAGCCTCTTTGGTCTGGAAATGGGCTGGAAACATCAGGAAACCTGTCCTTCCCATGAGATGCCCGGTACTTCCTTCTTCCAGCCGGGCAGGAAGTAGCTTTGCTCATGGGGCTCTGCTTGGTTTTGCTTCAACTCAACAGACCAGAAACCACAAAATTCCTACAGTTCTCAACACTGGGACTTCTCAGACCCTTGCAGATATTTGGGATTGGTTTGAGATGCAGCAGGACATTCCTCCTGCTCCACTCCTGCCTCCCAGCCGGGCTGCAGTGATCCACCCAGGGCTGTAGGTTCCCCATCAAGAGCCAGCCTGGAAAGAGAGGGAGCATCCCACCACTTCTTGGAGCAAAAAGCAGGTCCACATCCAAACCATGACCTCATGCTAAAATGCCCCCTGCTTCTTCCCTGCCCACCCCAGGACAAACCCTGGTCCCTGGTGCCCAGCCCAGAGGGGCAGTGCCATTCCCCAGGCACCACCTCACAGCGTGCACACTGGGAACAGCTCTGGTGGGTGGGTGGAGAATTGGGAATTTCCTAGGAAATGTCTGTTTGGGGCTGAATCCCTGGATACATTGAGCTCAGGTTAAAAACACCCCAAGTGAGTTGAATGAGACTGCACCAGCCAGCACCTTGACCAGCTGAGTCCAGCTGTCCCAGCTGGGTTCCCAGAAATTTCCTGATCTGGGGGTATCCATGGATAGGAAGTATTCACAAAAACTCTCCTCCCCAGCTGGGCTTTGTTACTGTCTCTTTTTTTGTGTGGGAGACTCTCTCTACAAACCAGGTTTCTCCAGCCCTTTTGCCCAGTCCTCCTGCCATCCAGTCGATGATTTGTAGCTGGGAAGCATGGAAGGATGCCTTTGGGATGCCCTGCATCCAACTGTTACTCCCTCCCTTAGCCTGCGCTGCTGGAGTCACATCTCCCTAACTCCTCACAGAAACCAGCCAAAAAGGACAACAAAAAAGGTTACACCAAATCATCAGGACACTTGGCAAAGTGGGATGTGGAATGCTGGGGATATCCCTCCTGCTCTGGGCCTCCTCCCTCTCCACCTCCTTGCACAGAGGAGCAGGAAAGGCAAGGCTGGAGGAGCAGGCTGGGATGCAATGAGACCAACCCCGAGTGGTACCACAGTGAAGTGTCACAGCATCCCACTGCTGCCCCAAATCCCCTCAGCGAGGGCAATGCCACACCGAGGATGCTGCGCCCCACGAGGCTGGTTCTGCCTTGAGTTGGTGGGTTTTCCCTGGGACAGGAGTGGGGGGGCAAGGCTGTGCCAGGAGGTGCTGCCCCTCATCCTGCTCCCTTGGGATTCACAGACCGAGGAGAAAAGGAACAAGGGCTGGGCCACCCACCAAACCCTGGCACGGCGTGGGCGGGGAAGGCGCGGGCGCCCAAGGCACTCGCGGCAGCAGCCAGGAGACACTCAGCAGTCCCACGGGGACCCTCCTTCCCAAGGGACCCCCTGCCCTCCATCCCCCCACCCTCATGCCGCCCCTGCCCCGCTGCCACTGACCGAACCCTTCTCAGCGCCGGGTCCCGCAGCCCTGTGCGCGTTAGAGACTCTTCATCACGGGGATGCCCCGCGCGAGCAGCTCTTGGGGGGTGTGTGTGCGTCACCCCCAATCCCGTGCCTCCCATTGGAGGAATAGCATGTGCCCCCCTTAGTGGAAAAAGATCTGGCGTTCTCAGTGGAGGTCGGCCCTGCCCTCCGTGTCACTCGTCCGGTGCCACGCTCTCCTCCAGGGCGGGCAGGGCCTCCAGGCCAAGCCCCCCGGCCGCGCCGCCGCCGCCGTGCACGCTCGAGAAGGACACCATGGTGTGGAGAAGCATCAGGACCAGCACGCACAGTCTGATCCTGCTGCTGCCGAGGCGAGACCCTGCGGAGACCGGCAGCAAGGATGGGGAGCGGGGCTGGTGGTACTGGTGGTACTGGTGGTGGTGGTAGAGATGGTAGTGGTTCTGCTGCTGGTGATGGACGTGGGGGTCGTGGCGGTGGAAATGGAGTGACTCTGACGCCGTGGATTTGGGGGATGTGTTGTCGTTGCTGTCTGGTGGGTGGTCGCAGGAGTCCCATTGCACCTCGCAGCACTTGGCCTCCTCCTCGGGCAGCTGGTTCTCCAGCAGCCCTGCAGGGAGCAAGAGGGGGAGGAGGAGGGGGTCAGTGGGAGACTGAGGACAGGGCTGTGGAGGGAGCGAGCCAGGTGCTGCGGGTTGGGCAGAACCTGAGAACCAGGACACCCAGAGACCCCCCAGGACTGGCCCCCAGCAACTGTGAGCCTGCACAGATGAGCAAGGAGTGCTCAGGGCTCCCCAAATCCTGTTCATAGTGGTTCAATGTCCCAGCCCCGCTTTAATCCATCACCTCCAGCCCCTTACATGCTTTAGCTTTCAATCAGAGGAAGGACTTTCACTTCCCATGTTAAGATGTCGCTGTATCCCCATTAACCCCTCCCGCTGCACCCCCAGGATGGCCCTGTTTCAGCATCAGGCCATGTGTTTCCACACTGCACTTCCTTCCACTCTGCCCCAAGCCTCCCAAACCCAGCATGTGGCTTGTGACCCACCCTGTGCCCCGCTCCCAGACCTCCTTACCCGTACAGATGAAGCCAGGCAAACCTCCATAGATCAGCTCGTCATTGTCCGGTAACACAAAGGGGCACCTGGTCTGCACCTCCAGGCAGTATTGCTTGCATGGGATCCGCTGTCGGCACTGTTGTTGGGTCACGTTGAAGTACTCGGAGCACAGCCAGGCCTTGTAGACAGCCTAGGGGAAGCCACCAAGAGGGACTGTCACCTCCCTGAGCTGGGGTTGCTGAAGCCTCGCAGAGACACGGGGTGGAAGGGGAAGGCAAAACTCCCAGCCCCCGTGAGAAATGTCTGCCAGGCCATCGGGGTCACTTATTGAACACTGATTGATTAAAACAACTCACTCAACTATCAGGAAGGTGGAATTTATCTCTCTGGCTAAATCCACCACAGAAATAAAGCTAATTACCACATGGAGTAATGTCCCCTGCAGACAGGCACCGGGACAGACTCTGCCAACACCAGTGACCCAGGACCTCAATCCATCATACAAAGGTTCCAACACTGCTTATCGCCTGTCCCAGAGCACCTTCCTCCTCCCTGAGACACCTCGCTGCTCCCCCGGGCAGGGGGAGGTTCTCCCTTCCTCTAAAGTGCTTTGGTCCCCATCAGCTCTGGATGTGGGACATGGGACAGCAAAACAGACCGTGGGCTGGTCTTTCCTGGAAATTTCCTGCTGGAAAGGCTGCTGGCCAGAAGCAACTGGCACTGCTGGGATGCAGCACACGCAGCCGCTGCACCTCAAGACCTGCTGCCTCTCTCTCTGCCACCAAATAACATTTTCCTCACCTTCCCCACCTGGCCATGGGGGAGATTCTCAGTTCACAGATATGTGGAACTTCCTGCTGTGCCATTTCTTTTGGAACCCACTCATTCTACAGGGATGTTCTGACTCTGGAATGTACCAAACAGCAGTACAGATGTCCCTGTGTGCTCCCCTCACCTTCCTGATGCTTCGGGTTGGGCCTGGCAACATTTCCATATGGAAGGGCAACCTGGGGGTTCACCTGTGACTGCAAGGCTGTGTCACATCCCCCGCCTCTCTAGCCTGTCTGGTCCCTGGTTTCCCTCTTCCCTTCCACCCTGTGTGTGCTCGAGCACAGCCCAGATGGCTTTGCCTGAATCCCCCTCATCTCCCCAGTATCAGGCACGGGTGGAAGCTGTTTGTCTCCACTGGCTGCAGCAGGGAGGGAGGGAGAGCTCCTGTTTCTCCTGGTGAGCATCATTCCTCAGGCTGCAAGAAAGCCACGGCACCCCTGGGAAGGGCACCCCCTCCTTGGTGCTTCCAGCTCATCTAAGAACTCATCTGGGCACCAGTGACAGCACTAGGGTCATTCCATGACCACATCCAACTTCCTTTGAAACCAGCTGGAAAGGACTCCCCGTGATTCAAAGGGAATGAGCTTCCCTCCTTGGCGTGCTTGGAGAAACCCCGTGCTCCTCTTTTCAGTGGCATTTTCATTTTCTGGAGGCTTTGAAACCATCAATTCTTTGTTTCCCCATGTTTTCCACAGATCCCTATCATCATTTGTTTGGATCATGGTGGTGTCTCAGGATTAAAGCCGGTTGGGAAATTCTTGGCAAGTTATTTTAGTTTCTTTTTTCCCCTGGAAAATGCCAAATCATGAAAACCAGAGTTTTCATGGAAACGTGTTAGTTTTGGTGAAACTTTCATGACAGAAAGTTTAATGGGAACCAGGACGTGATCCACGGAATGAGCATTTCCAAGCAGTCCCAATCCCCATGGCCAGGGTTTTCCTCTGGGATGTGGCAACACAGCTGTGGTCCTGCTTCTTCTCCCTGTCCCATTGGATGTTAATTACTGGGACACAGTGGAACGGCTCCAGAGAAGGAACCAGAGTGTGAGGACACAAGTGGGAGGGAATATTTCAAGCTCTGGATCTGCATCCCTACGCCCAGCCCCATCTGGGACAGACACCCCAAGTCCATCCCTCCAGCTTAGCCTGTTTTCCAGGCCTTGTGTGGCTTAGGATAAACATCTCCATCAGTGGGACTTCCTCGTGTTTCCCAAGGAGGTTGTTTTACAGCACTTATCTCGCTGCCTACAAGTTTTCCTTCATACTTGACCTACATTTTTCCATCCGAAAGTTCACTCCCTTCAATCATTCCAGACACCATCCCTCTCCCTCCTCTCTGTTTACACATTTCTAATATTTGCAGACGTATCACGCTCCCCGTTAGTCATGACTCAGGCGAGCTCGGCTGATTTACTCACGGCATTTCCTGCCCGTCTCCCTCCCAGCTCCAACTCTCTCCCACGCTGCTTCCCAGATCCCAGTCACATCCACAGCTCCCACCTGGGGACACGTGCAGCCTGGTAAGGAGGGATGCTACACTGGATTCTCTAGCAGAGACTGTGGGTGTCACTGGGGCTGTCCCAGCTCCAGATTTGGGCTCAGTGACCCACAGGTGGAAAGGGCAGCTGGAATCAGAGATTCCCAGAGCTTGGCAGGATGGAGTTCAGGCTCATCCCGCTCTCCTGAGGAAACACAGCTTGCACAAGCAGACTCTGCATGGATCTGCACGTTTTCCATACAAAATTTTTGTGTTGATTCCCATCAGGGAAGTCTGGCAGAGGGTTGAGGTCACAGAAAAGGATATTCCCAGGAATTTAATGGAAACGCGGAGTGAGAGGCTGCAAGGAGCTGGTGATACCACTGGAGAGGGCAGAGGAGGTGTGCTCATCCAGAAACTATTTCCCTTTCCCCTTTCCTTTCCAGGGCACCCGCCTCCCCAGAGGGAAGCACCGGAGCCCTGGTCCCAGTCAGCCCTTGCCAGGCTGGGCTGCAGATCCTCTGGATGTTGCAGCAGGAATTCCCACAGCTCTGCAGGATGGAAACTGCTCACAAATAGAGACAGCAAAGACCTGCTGGTCCAACAGCCTGCCCCACTCCACTGGGATCATGCTGATGTGGGCAGATTTCCAGGAGACCCCGGCCATCCTCCCATCATGCATCCGCAGAGATCCTGTCACCAGCCAGAAGCAAATTCCCTGGGATGCTCAAGCTTCTGGTATCTCTGAGCTTACCCCACACATCCTGCTTTACCTTATTATAAAGGACATGTGAGAATTTAGGACAGGAGGAAATTTATTCCCTGCTTAGATCAACAAGGAAAGCTCCCTGTTTTCCATCCTTGCCCTCTATGGATTCTTCAGAGTTGGTGTTCCCTCCATTCTTTCTGGTTTTGCTTTTGGCAGATCTCCAGCCTGGCCAAGTAAATGTAAGTAACCTGAACTCCAAATAGCTCCATTTTGGTGCCCTCTTCCTGCATTTTTAGCTCAGAGGACTGGCTGGATGGCCCCGAGAAAGCACATGGAGTTTTGCTGCCCAGGAAAGGAGCCAACTTCAGACACCCAATTTATAAGGGAGGAAGAGGAGGAGGAGGAAGAGGACAGGCTATTTGTCTGCATCAGAATTTTGCAGGTGGGATGAAATACCCCATCATAAAAGACATTAAAAAGATACAACATGAACTGGATTTCCAATAGCTAATTAAGCTACTTGTCTGCTTGCACTTCCAGCAGGATCTGGAAGCAGCAGTCAGAGGAATGGCCCTTTCACAGGGAATTCCGTGCCAAATGGAGCTCCTTCCTGCCTGCACTCTTCCCCCTGCCTCCTGGATAGCATTCCCCACCAAACAGCTTTTCCAGAGTCTTTCTGTGTCCTTATTATGTCTGCACAAAATAATATACTAATTTTTAAAGTAATTTGGCCACTTCAGGGCCAGTCTAGTTGCTGCCAATATGTTGCAAAAACTGGCATTGTCTGTTGAACCATCCCAGCTAAAGTTTGGGACAACAAAGGAGCAGGGATGGAGCAGCATCCTCAGGATGCAACACCTTTGCAGAGGATGCAGTGCTTGGGATAGTTTGGATGCTCCCTGGGAACACCAGCTGTAATTAACACAGCAAACTGTTGTTGTCCCATATGAGCAGGAATCAATGCTTGGGAAGTTTCCCCAAGGAAAATCCTGCTGATGGCCCAGTGGTAACAAACTCTTCTCCTTAATTACAGGCAGGGGCTAGGGCAGCATTCCCAGTCCAAATTCCACTTCTCTGGAAGGGTGATTTGCAGATTGGAGTGGAAGGAGGACAGAGAGGGAAGCAGGGAGCTCTCACCTACAAAATAACCCTGGAAGGAGACCTGGGAGAGTGCTTGGGCCAGAGGCTTTGGATCACTCTGGAAGCTGGGCTCTTCCATCATGGCTCTCCTTCCTTTTCCTCTTTGAGGACATGCTCAGATCTCGTTCACTCATTCCCAGCTTCCAGGTGGGATGAGAGGAGAAATCCTTGCCCGTCCCTGCCAGACCACCAGCTGGGAGCAGCCCCCTCCCCTCCCAGAGCAGTTCCCGGGACTCACATTTCCATCCTGGCCTGAGATGAGCATCTGGAGTGGCTGTGCCTCATTAATCTTGGACACAGGGAAATGAGTCCTGCTAATGAGCCGCTCGGGCAGCTCTCCAAGCTCTGGCACATCAGGATGCAGCGCGGGAAGCAGGACAGGCTGGGGGGGGAAAGAAGAGCTCCTTTGGATGGCAGAGGATTAAGGGAACGCTGAGGTCCAGGGCTGGCCAGGAGGAGTCACAAACACAAGCTTCAATGTCCAATTACCACTGTATTCAATTACTGCTGCCTTCAACTTGGGCACGAACAATGTGGAGCTTTAAAACAGCTTTTTTTTCTTCATTTTTTTAAAAATTCTCCTTGCTATGGGCTGTTCCATCATCATCTCTGGAATAGCTGGATTTTTGGTAACTTCTTTGACAGTTCTGGAGCTGTGTTATCCCTGCCTTGTCACAGTCACATGCTCTAGTTTGGGAGAGGGGGGAGAAAAACCCCAACCCCAACCCCAAAAGCCAACAACTGTGCGTGATTACGGGGTTTGTATTGTTTGGACTTATTTTTTTTAATATAAAGTTGACTTTGGCCTGGTGCTGACAGCGCTGGAGCCGCAGATCCTCCGTTTCCCACCCAGGGGAGGCGCGGGCCGGGCGCCTCTGCCCATTGTACCCGGCACCGGGGGGCACGGAGGGGTGGTGGTGAGGGCACACGACACTGCCAGCAGGAACGGCTGGGACAGGGAGGGGGGCTGGCTGGGAATGGCGCTGGATGCACACGGGCCGTGGGGTGCTGGGAACGGCGCTGCTGGGAACACC